AATTATCTCGAGAATTATGAATTCTTTAATCCCCGAAAATTGTTCATTGACTTTGGAAATTGTGTTTGCAGGCTCCGAAAGTACGTCCTAACGAGCTGAAAACAGAGGAACACATTCTTGTGGGGGTTGTTTCGTGTATGTATGAGAAAATGTGAAGAGCTTCTTTTCTTTCGCGGGGGTAAGAGATGTAAATAGTCTCGACGAATCGGGGCAAAAGGTGATATTAGAGTTTACATCTTGAAAGTTTTTTAGGGTTTCGACATATGAATATACACCGGCATTGAACATCGAAAGGTAGAACGAAAGTGAATCGGTATTCTTTTTTCCTTTCATAGTAAAGTTGTTTATTTTGAAGGAACAAATGTAAGAGTCTTAGTTAGTAGTGTTTAAAGGTTTACATGATAAGTTTTACATGTTTTTTTTTGTAATGCAAATTAAGAAGTTACATCTTTTATCTCATTTGTAGCTTTCATGGTTCGATCTTTGTACACATGACTCCCCTTGTGCACATGATCCCCACTTGTAGTTTGAACTTTAATTTGTGCACATGACCCCCCGTAATTTGAATTTTGTGCACATGAACCCCCCTTGTAGTACGAACTTTGTGCACATGACCCCCTGTAATTTGAACTTTGTGCACACGACTCCCCCTTATAGTTTGAATTTTGTGCACACGACTCCCCCTTTTAGTTTGAATTTTGTGCACACTACTCCTCTTGTGATTTGAACTTTGTGCACATGACTCCCCCTTGTATTTCACTTGGTATAATGCTGTATTGAAAATATAAGAGGATCATATGCACAAATTTAAAAACTGCAGGGGGGTAAGTGCTATTTAACCTTTTTCTTTTTCTTTTCTTGGAATAATCTAATAACGATCTCAATTATATACTTTTCAAGTTTCAATGATCAATGATACTAGTGTAAAGACATAAGTAGGCCAGAACATAATAGAAAATTTATTCGTTGAGGGGCTATAAATATAGTTTCCCACCTGAGGTAGGAGGAGCTTTCTGTTATCAATATGTGTTTTCTTACATCGGTTTTTATCTGGTCTTATAGTAATGAAATTACAATTAGCACAACCGCTGATCCCGACGGTTGTCTGAATGTGAATTCCTCTGCCCTGGACCAAGCAAAAGGGATTCAAGCGAATTCGTTTGAACAGTTCCCTAGTTTTTTGAAACAGTTGCTTAAATCGCATCTGTCTGGAAAATTTTATTTGGTAAGTCGAAGTTTTGTCCTCTATAAATATATAAACGTTATTCATGCGTCAAACTATGGAGAATTATTCTTTTGTGACAGGGTTTACCAAAGAAATTTTGTGATGCACATTTGCCAAGCCACGATGGAAGTATTATATTGGTTGACGAAAACGATCAAGAATACAATACAAAGTACTCTGTTCGAAAAAATAGACTTGAGTGGTGGTTGGAGGGGTTTCTCCATTGAACACAAATTGCTAGAGGCGACGCGTTAGTATTCCATCTGATTGAGCCTTGCAAGTTT